ATGCCAGTTGAGATATGATTAAAAAGCCAATTGGCCGCAGATTAAACTGTAGACTTATGCAAGCAAAACTCAGGCCTCAATTGTTGCTTAATAAACGACTTTCAAGCATTTAAGCTGCTCTAAGCCAAGTTTGCAAAGCAAACGAAGTGCATTTTATAAGAGGATTAAGCAATTTAACAGTTTTTGGTATAATAAATATTAGGCTAGGCGTTGCACCAACTATTTTGTTAAATTTATCATATTAAAAAGAGTTTATTGGATTTTGTGCAAGAGAAATTAATCTTGGAATCTGATAAGTGATAAGATCATATGGCTTCTTCAATTGACGGCGTGGCCTATCCGGTAAATGTATGTCTTCTGCAGACTCAAGATCGATGCACAAAAATATATTGCCCAATTTAGGCAACCTTTTTTACACTGTATTTGGTTTGTCAATGAGTATGATGCAGTCGGATGCACCCGACTGCAACATTCTTAATTGTTTTGGTCTAGCACTGTCCCTGTCAGGGCTTTTATGGCCAATCACCACAATCATAAATTAAATGGCCTTAAATAGCTCCATTAAAGCTGTAAGCGTGCAACTCGTCGCTGGAGAGTTCGTTAATGTGAGGCACTGTGAATTCGCTTTTTGACCATTAGCCGCACTTCCAAACATTTCTAACGGCCGCTAATTAACCTCGATGCGAGAGATAAGCCACGGGTCCCCAGAGCTGCAGCCAAGCGGCAAACAGATTGCCGCAACATGTGGCCAGCCGTGGTTCCAACTTGCCTGCTGCTCCTGCTGCTGCTGCTGGGCAGTACAGGCAATCTGGCATTAACGGCTAACGAGCTGGTGAAACGCAGCCACCAGGAGCAGCATTGCGAGACGCTATTGTTGCTCAGGCACAGCCGCCAGCTGCCCTGCAGCCAGATGGAGCAAGTAGCGGCTGCCACCACGTGGCCCGTTCTGCGCTTTAGCAGCCAGGCGAACTTTTATCTCAAGAGCAGCCAGAGCACGGAAATGTTGGCACTTATATGTCTGACTGGCCATATGGAAATGGATCTGGCATTGTGGCAAGCGCTGGCCAACAATCTGTACAACATGCGGCATGTGCGGCTGCTCCTATTGCTGCAGCTCGCCACGGCACAGTCATTGCAGCAACAGCTCCGGGAGCTGGCCAACACGGCGCTGCAGCTGCATTTTCCTCATGTGGTGCTGCTGCTGCTGTCCACGGACAACGCCTATCAACTGCAGCCATATGCACAGGAGCACTGGCTACTGCTGCAGCCGAACAGCAGCGGCAGCCCGATCTTTGCCAGGCAATACAACTACCATCGGCTGACGGCACGCTCACTGCCCGATCAGGTGTCGCCGCGTTCGCTGGGCTATAGGGATCGGAAGACGGGTGAGCTGCGCATGACGGGCTTTGTGGCCAAGCTGATGCAGGAGTTTGCGCGCGTGCACAACATCTCGTTGCGGTGGCAGCGCCAGGTAATCGTTGGGCAGCAGCTGTCCATCATATTGCTGCGCAACATGACGCTCAATGGCACGCTCCAGCTGCCCATAACGCTGTGCGGCTACGAGCTGCCCACCAAAGAGGGCTACTACACGTACCCGTTCGATGTGGCCGAGTGGTTTGTCATTGTGCCCTGTGCCCAGGAGACACCCACGGCCGAGGTGTACCTTACAGTGTGCAGCTGGAACATGCTGGTTGTGCTTCTGGCCAGCTACTGCATCTTTACGCTGCTGGACACTTGCTTTGGCTGGCTGCTGATGCAGCAGCAGGTGGATTGGACCAATCTGGTGTTTAATGAGCGCATGATCTCGGGCATTATTGGACAGCCGTGCAAGCTGTACGCTCAGGCCACGAACAGCTCACGGCTGGCCCACGCCCAGCTGTTCCTGCTGGGCCTGATTGTTAGCACACTCTTTGCAGCCCAGTTGAAGACGCTGCTGACCAAGCGACCCATGGAACGGATGGTTACCAGTTTTGAGGAGCTGCGAGACTCTCATCTGAGCATTCACTTTACCGAAGGCGAACACTTCTATGTGAACATGATGGATCGGGACACACCCATCGACATCATCAGATCAAAGATCACATTTCTGCAGACAACCGTCTTTTATAAGGAGCGCAGAAGTCTGAACAAATCGAAAGCATTCTCCATGACATCCACCGAGTGGCAGGTCATCAAACAGCAGCAGGATCTATTTCAAAGGCCTGTACTGTGCTTTCAGCCTGGCCTGATCTTTCGCTACAAGATTCTCGCCTCCGTGCCATTGCAGGCGAACTCCATCTTCGCGGAGCCGCTGGAGGAGCTCATGCTTCGAGTGGTCGATACCGGACTCCTGTTGTACTGGAAGAAGCAGTCCTTGGGCGAGCTAATCGCACTTGGCGAGATCAGTGGCAAGGACCCGTATCCGTATGTGCCCTTTTACGACTTCAAGGTGGGCGACTTGTTTTGGGTCTGGCTGGGCTGGGCATGGGCCTTGTCCCTGGCATTTGTTGTCTTCTTGTGTGAGTTAATTGTTTACCGCACGACCAAGTACTTGAATAATTAATTCAATGCAATTAGCACATGAATTAAAAATGCGATTTATGCAAACTCGTTTTTGTTAGAAATTGGCAATATTTAACTTTTCGTTCATCATAAATGCTACTAAATTTTGAATGTTTATTTGAATTTGTTAGCTAATCCTCTGCTTAATAGATTTTTAATGTCGCTTCATATTTTTTTTAAAAATATTTATTGCTCGTAATTGGTTTGGATATTACGTTTTCAATATAAGCAAAATTCCATTTATTAACTAGCACAAAAAAAAATAAATCCCTTTCAATCAAACTATTTCTAGTTTTTATTCAGAGTAAATTAATTTTATACAACGTATTCATTTGTTGCTTTGCTCAATAAATGAATGGAATTAGGAATTCATACCGTTTCTTAAAAAAAATACCATTTAGTAACTAGCCCAAAAATAAAGAAGAATTCTCTTTCAATCAAACTATTTCCAGTTTTTATTCAGAGTAAATAAATTTTATACAACGTATTTGCTTGTTGTTGGATTTAATAAAAGAATGGAATTGGGAATTCAAACCGTTTCTTGGTGGCAGCGTTGTAGACGAAATTATGACGAATTTATGTCAAAATGGCAGACATCCTGGAATTGTGGCCCAGCTTGGGGTGTCCAGTCGATGAAGTTGACATAAATCAAACATTTTGCAAGGGGATTAGTTTCAAAGTGTCAGCCGATACAGTTACGGCTGCTGTTGACAAGGCTTAAATGTTGTCGAACCGTTTTGCTGGTTTAGTTTTTGTTTTCTCTTTTCTTTTTTTTGGAGCCAGGCTCATTCAATCATCGGTTGGCACAACCCAGACAGACAGCCAGCAAGGACCCAGATAATTGACGTTTACGTTGTCAGAGCAGCGTTTTATCTTTTAAAATGTTGATGCGGACAGACAGACAGGAAAAGTTGGCTGGATTTGCTGGTTATTGCAATTTAACGCGTATTTTATGGCATCAGCCTTAGAGAGAGTAGAGAGTTGGACCTGCCACACGCCGGAGCTGATGGCATTGATGGGCATTTATGGGCGTTTATGGCAAATCGATGAGCCAATTGGCACTTTAAACGCATTTTATTGTGCTCCGGCCCCAAAGGGAAATTCAATTTCATCCGCCCTGCAGCAAAGTGCAGCTTTGTCGTGACGCACACAAAAGGCTTGTTGCCAGCAAATCGAATTAAATGCGGCCCAAGGACCTGCACCAGGCCGTACGCCTATTATGCGAATTTCTGCCGAACATTTATCGATTTTCGTCGTGTAAGCTATTTATAAAAATCTTCTTAGATAACAAACAAACATACACATTGGAAGCCACAACAATGCTTGGACGAGATTAATATCATGCTAAGTCATATTTGAAATTCTTTAAACTATTTACTCGCATTGTTATTCGACTGGGATAACGGACAATGCTTCATTCAAATGCCTTTTGAATAATAAACTTGCATTTGAATTACCAAAACCGCTCAAAATTCAACTTTAAATTGAACAAAGTTAAAGACCACATAAACTAGTTAATAAATCTTCTAAATGTGATAAATGTACATTGACAAAAAATTTGCAAATGTTGTTCACCAATATTATGAGCTGCATTTGATTTTGGACGGAATTTAATATCATAGGCCCAAAAATGCGTCCTTAATTAGGAGGTTACATAATATTATATTATGCTGAAATCCACAGTAGATTACGTTCAAATATTCTGTCTATGTCAAAGGTTATAGATCACATCAAAGGGTCACCTGTGATGTATATTCATTTTAAATTATAACTATTAAGCTTCCGACAAACACTGAGAAACATCTGAAAATTATAATCTGAATGCGGTACATCTTCTGTCTTCAGTTTTGGTTACATACTTTGAGTTTGATGATGACAACCTGATGCATTTCACAATAGATACATCCAAGCCTACCGTCTCCCCAAATTTATTTGCATTGCTTAAACATCACATCAGAAGCTTCCAAAATGTTCCGATCTATGTTAGTAAAGCACCCGGGTTTCCCTCCGTATCTGGCAGTAGGAGGCTAAATATAAAATACATGGTCTATCAGTTAACTGAACACTCGAACGACTCAGTTATATGACTATACGGTGTGCTTTTAAATACCCTAAATAATAATGTCTGTGATCGAAGCAGATAAATATTACAAAATCAATTTAATGCGGATCATTAGCTCATCTAATAAAATCCAGTTTTGTCGCGAATTGCGTTACGCTTTTGATAAATTGAAATGTGATTTTATTGCAGACCAAGTTTATAAAAAAGCATTGAAAATTTTCGTGTTTCCACTAAATCAATAGGTATCGATCTTCATTTTGAATTATTTTTTAGAAATAAACGCTTTTTAAATTATAAAATATAAAATACCACATAATATAAACATAAAAATCGGATTAATTAAGACGAAGAATTTATTTCTGATAATTAAAATGTTTGTAGCTGCGTACAGGGTATCTCATAGCTTGTGCTGTAATGTTTGAAATTTTAGCTCTAACAAATTAACTTTTTATTAAATCTTCTGTGTGTGAAAAATGTACACTGACAACCGCTTTCCACTCTTTGTTGGTTGCCGCCATTAACTGTATCTTATACTGTCCGGTTGGCAATGGGAGAAACCGGACAAACTCGGATTTGAATACCATTTTGTTCACAATTATAGCATGCTGAAATATAATATTTATACTAAATTAATACAATCAATGAAAATACTTGACTTAATTCATGACTCACTTCATACGGACACGTGTGATTTATATTCGATGTCTCGGATAGCGCATCCATAAATATTTTTTCAAAAGACAATTTCCTATTAGTTTTTGCCATGAATTTGCAAAAGTCAAAGGTCGTATTAAAGAAATATGGATGGTACTCGCTGTACTTGCGCCAAAAACTGAGATTAACCTTTCAACATAAAAGGTTAGTTTTTTCCATCAAGTATTCCAACAACACATACCTTTCCGTTCTTAACCGGCCCTTGATTCAGCTTCGCGTACACATTCAAGCCCACGACTCCACGGCCAAGTATTTTGAGGTCACATTGCTGGAAGGTGGCATAAGCGGGCACCAACATCTTGCACTCTATGTTTGTGAAGCGGGTGACACTGCCCGAGAGCCCTTCTGAGACCAGGATGAGGAGCGTAAAAGTAACCCACATCATTATGAGAGTGGCGACACGCAATGACGACTAACCAAAGCGCCCGTTTAAAAAACAGTTTAATTCATAGAATCAATAAATCAGACACATTATTAAAAACAAATTAGTGTAGTGATCCCTTAACGAGGTAATACCCTGCACTTCGCAACGTACATTTGGAAATACATGAAAGAGGCACGCACAATAGTTATTCAATTCGACGTCCCCATCTATGTTAATCTCGAAATTCTTGTGTCAAAAATCGATAGTATGTTTTGATGGACAGACGAACTTGACTAGAACAAATAGAATGATAATTTTGATCAACAATGTATATTATATACACTCGAAGTTAACCCTAACTACCTGTCACATAAACATCTGCCTGTTATTGCACAACTTCATGCTACCCGCTTTTACCGATTGATAGGTATAAAGTGTAAAGTAACATTTAAATATAGCATGGGATCATTTAAAATCGCTTTACCTGAATGATTAGCGTGCCAATGACTCTCAAAATTCATGAAGTATCTGATTTTAAAAAATTGCCATGCCATATCGATCGGAATTCCAGTGTTTATCAATTCTTCAATAAATCTTCCTTGCGTAACATTTGGATGTTGATATTTGTTTTCCATTCGTTGTTGGTGCCTGCCATAATTTGTATTTTATACTCGCCCGAAGGTAAAGGCAAAAACCTGTAGTACTCCTCCTGGAGTATCATGTCGCGCACAATTATATCATGCTATAAAGTTTATGAAAAGTAACAATTTTCAAATTTAATTCAGCTTTAACTCACATCATAGGGACACGAATAATTCAGGTTCGACGTTGTCGCTAGGGATTCAATAATTACTTTTTCAAATGACAATTTTGAGCTAGATTTTTCCTAGAATTTGCAGAAGTCAAAGGTCGCGTTGAACATAAATGGACGAAACCCGTTGTATTTTCGCCAAGGACTGAGATTTACCTAGAATTAATAATGCTATTAACTCATAACACGAGGACACGAGGCCACGACCAACTATTTTTAAAACACATTGCTTATAGGTAGCATACGAGGGATCCAACACCTCGCACTCTTAATTTGTATATCGAGTCACAGTTTCCGAGAACCCTCCAGTGGCCAGGAACAGGAACACACATGGAGCCCACATCGTCTGTTGCTTGACGATAAATTTCAACAGCTAAACTGAACGCACAATCGACTGAAGCAAGTGAAATCATAAATATTTATAATCTGTCGAGATCATATAATGTGTGTATTATAAATAATAAATTGAACACTTTTTGAAGTTTCCAAATTCACAAACAAGCGTCCCAATTGTCTTAGCAACAATTAAAACCATATATGCCACAGCTATTATAAACTTGCATGCAATTTATTGGATCTCTCGGTTGGGACAACACAGAAAATATATTTCCTTTCCACGCCATTGAAAATGCCTCAAGGCTGAAACTCTCGCAACGATTTAAAGCTGCTAACTGGATCGATTCTCAGAATAATGAACCGAACTACACAAATAATCCGACCATGGCGATATCTATTGCAATTGCAAATTGTAAATCACATTAACATGGCACCATTTTATGTTGCCTACTTTTGTGCGCCGGCCAAATTTCATAATGAGGCCCACATCGTCCAACTGCTAGCAAAACATATAAGCGATTCAGACAAATTTGCCATGCGACATCTAAATTTAAATTTGCAATGAGATCTGATGAGCCTGATTAAATGTACAATAATCTAATTGCGGAATTGTTGTTCGAAACGAATTTCGAAATAATGCTTGGCCGAGCTCTCGTGAATCATGAGCAGCAATTCAAGTTCCTCTCGGCCACGATATGCACAAAACTAGATGAAAATGCAAATTAGCGACTGCCACGCCCAAATGGAATGCGTTATCAACTATCGAAATTTGTGGCTTGTTGTTGCACTAATTAAACTCGCTGCACAGCTAATTGGAAAAAAAAATGCGAAAATGTAAATTTCCTGTGGTTTCTGGGTATTGCTGCTGTAAATTGCATTAACAAATCAAAGTTGAAAATTTCAGCTTAATTTAAGCATGGCTTACAATTCTAATAATTATTAGAATTATTATCACTATTTTTGCTACTCTTATTATAATTATTTTCAATTTGTTTTTTTTATCAATATATAGGCAACGTTTATTTGTACAGATAATTATGATCTACTGCATAGCTGTCAATCTTCTTCCGATTTCTTTTCTAATCTTCTGTAAGCAATATGTTGATTTTAATCGAGGTTTTCCACTCGTTGTTGGTAGCTGCCATAATCTGTAGCCTATATTCGCCCGACGGCAGTGGCAGAAATTTGAAATGCTCTGGCTTGAATACCAAGTCGCGCACAATTAAATCATGCTATAATAAATGCACATTATTCGATCACTCAGAATCACTCAGGACATACTCACATCATATGGACACGAATGATTCAAGTTCGAATTTTTCGATAAAATATCAATAAATATCTTTTTAAACGATAATTGCTGATTGGACGTGGCCATTGTCTTGCAAAAGTCGAAGTTATTGTTGAACATAAATGGCCGATAGCCGCTGAATTTGCGGAACAGGCTGAGATTTACCTAAATTTGTTAGAGTTCAGTAAAAGTTAAATTTCTAAGTTCTACTCACAAACTTTTGCATTTTTAAAGGGCCCTTGTTGTAATTTTGCGTGTACAGTCAGGCCGATAACACCGCGTCCTAGCACTTTCAGCTTGCATTGGCTGTAGGTGAAATAAGCAGGATCCAAAACTTTGCACTCCAAGCCCGTAAACTTGGTAGAAGTAGCCGAGAGTCCGCCTGTCACCATCAGCACGAGCACGAATGGTAGCCACATCGTTTGTTGGCCAACAAAACTCTTATGACACTAAAACTATAATCAAATGCGTAATTTGTTTTGCAAAATATTTGCTTATCCATTAATCTATAATAACTCATTTAATAGAGCTCGAATAGCAAAACGTTCAACATTTAAACTCTAAATAATCTTATCAGTCGCCTCAACTATTAAGCGACTCAGTCAGGCCCGTAGTTAAATGATAAATGTTTGAATGGCCCAACCTGTGATCACTTTATAAATCACGAAGTCAGGAACGATATGTATATACTATATACATATGTAATCAACCAGAACTCGGGGCATAATAATGTGAAAGGCTTTGGTCAAGTTGAAAAGTGGAAGTCACAGAAATTTCTTTGGGTGTTCCAGTTGCAGTTATCTGTGCCATTTCACAGTTTATGTATCACAAGTAACACAAGTTGAAAGCCAAAAACAAAAGTTCTGGCTGAGGTTTTTGAATTTGAAAACATGAGCAAAGTTTTCGCTTTGAAAGGCAACTGGGCGTGGGCGTGGCAGTTGTGTGCTTGCCGTTGATTAGAGATTCATTTATTTGCATTTCGTTATGCAAATATTTTAGCATCCACGGAAAAATTGTCAGGCAACAAAATAACATAACATAAATTATGCAGCATATTTTACCAGAATACTTTGGCTCTTGTTTTTCTCTGTAATTTTGCTGGGCAACCAGAAAATTAATAATTTGAGTAATTAGTCGCGTGATTTTTGACATGGCATAACTTGCGCGCCCGGTCTGTCATTTGCATAAATTTTAAAGTAACTTTGGGCAGGGGAAAAAAGGTCCTGCGGCAGCCAGTCATAAATTTGTACTACCATAATTATGACTGAGATTAAGCGGCCAAAACTTTGTCGACAGCCAGGCGAAAATAATGAGTGAGATATAAAAACAAGCTTAGGTACAACACCTTCGGAAAATCGCTTCAGAGCGCTTCGGTATTAGGCAAAATAACTGAAACTCAATCAAAAACTTTGTCTAAGCTCTGCTAAACTTGTTGCTAGCTGCTGTGTGTGATTGTAAAAGTGTATGTGTGTGTGCTGGCTGTATAAACAGGCAACTTAGTTGCCATTATTAACAAGTTTTCCGTATGCAAATGAGCTCTGAGCAACAACAACAACAAGAGCTGAACAACTACAGCACAAACCACAATAAATGAATACCACACAGGGCAAAACTTTGCAGGATATAAAGGGTTATACCCTTTCAAGGGGTATTGAAGTTTTGACATGAAATGTGCAACGCCTTTAAAGAGACCTCACCATGCTCATACTATATGGCTATATATTCCTGATGAACACAAGCTGCTGAGCTGATTCGATGACATTTGATTGAGATTCTTTTCAGCAAAAAAAATTGCAAAAGAAATAAATCCTTGGCATTCTTTGGGTAGCAGTTCCTTTGTACTTCTTACAAAGCAATATATCTTGACTGGCTGCTCGCATTCTGATTGAAAATGCAAAAGTAAATGAAATTGATGAATGTTTAAGTGACAAGCGGCAGTACGCCATGCCAGTTGCTACTGGCCCTTGTCAGGCTAACAAATGATTGGGGCTGGGTTTTGGCCTTCAAGAACCGAATGCAGCTCAATCTCAATCAATTTGGCGGCCAAGAGCAGAGCTGTATGCCCAAAAGATTACGCTTGGCTTTCATAACTGGCCGCAATTACATAACCCCAATGCCATACCTCCTGTGACCTTTAAAGCAGCCCATTGATTCGCCAATGTGGCCCCTTTTCAGCCGCGCTCAAAACCTTGTCATAAATCAATCCAAGCGAAACTTTCGCCAAAAGCATTAAAAGCATTACAAAAGGCACCATTTCTTTTTTCACTGAGCCGCGTATGCTGTCATGTCTTTGTCATGTTGAACAAAAGCAGTTGCTAGTTGCCAGCGGCAATGGAGGCAGCGACCATGTTACGTATACGCCCCCTCAGGCATGCATGCAAAGGACATCACGGCAAATGAATGAATGGCAAACCCAAAGCAATCTATTGTGTGCTTGTGTTTAATGCTCTGCATGTGTGTGTGTATGTGTGTGCCATGCTTAGTACAGTTTCTGTGCTGTATTATCTCTGGGTGTGTGTGAGGACTTTGCATGTTCGCTTTAAGCATGTTAGCCTGGCATTTGATTGTTTTCCTTGTGCCGAG